AGGGTTTCTTAAATCGATATATATATATATATTAATTTTAAATAAATTATTTATGTGTATTTTAATAATTTTAGCTCTATTGTGTTATAAAAATGTAACTTACATAAATATATATATATATATCTAATAAATTTCATAAAAAAAAATATTTTTAATATTTAAATTTTAAAAAAAGTAAAAAAAATAGAATAAAATTAATTGGTAAAATATTTTTAGTATGTATAATTCTATTAAGTTTTATTTATGGGTAATTTAGATTAAATAGAACTCTTTTAAATATTAAATTTTAGAAAGAATTTTGGTAAGGGTATATTGACCTGGAATTTTAATATAAAAAAAAAAAAGCAAAAAAGGAGATGCGCTCCATAGGAGAGACAGAAAAATTAAATGTAAACAGTACTTTTTTATTTATTTTGATAATTTTAATCCTATCGTTTTATAAAAGTGTTATTTAAATCAACACATAATAATTTTAAACAAATTATTTTTTATATTTTAATAATTTTAGCTCTGTTGTACTATAAAATATAAATTAAATAAAAATATATAATAATTTTAAATTATATTAAATTGTGACACAAAAAATAAGCATTAATTTGATAATTTTAACCTTTCATGCTACAAAAATGTAACTTAAATAAATATATATAATAAATTTATATGATATTAAATTATAACTTGATATTAGAAATAATTGTTATAAAATTAAAAGCGATTCTAACTATTTAAGAAATTCAACATAATTAATATTATAAATAAGATAGACATAAAAATAAGAAATAATTTTAATATTTTATTTTAAAACAATGAAAAAAAAAGTATAATAAAATTAATTGGTAAAGTATTTTTGAGTATGTATAATTCTATTACGTTTTGTTTATGAGTAATTTAGATTACGTAGAAGTCTTTTAAATACTAAATTATAAAAATAATTTTGGTAAAATGATATATTGATATGGCATTTTAATAATAATAAAAAAAAAGAGATGTGCCACACAGGAGAGAGAAAAATTGAGAGCAAATACTACTTTTAGTAATATACTAGTAGGTGACCCATGCAATGTATGAGAATTTATTTTTAAAATGAAAAATTAGTTTTGAGTCGCAATAGTTTGTGTGGAAAATATGAATGAAATATAATTATATTTTACTTATGTTTCACACACTTTTTTTATTTTTCTTTGTAAATCTCTTTCCAAATTCATGAATCAAATACAATCCTTTTACATAAGATTTCTTATGAATGAAGAAGGTGGTTTGCTTTCTTAGTTGAATAGGAAATTTATTATTGAATGTCATGTGCTTTCTTTATTGAATAAAAAATTTCTTTGTCTACTCAAATTTTTTTTGTGTAGAAAGTATTATGAATTGAAAGTCAAATAGGAAAAGATTTACAAATTCGTTTGTCGAAAACAATGGTTGTTTATAATAGAATATAATTTAATAAGTTTCATGAAAAGGTATTAATGTAGTAATACAAAGCAAACTTGAATGTGTACCTTGAGCATTTAATTAAAAATGTGATTTTTTCCCCCCCATTTTAATGAAATAGGCAATCTAAAAGTCATATTCTAATGTATTGTTGGCATATAAAATGTGTATATATTGTAAGGTAGATGCAACAGTGTTGGACTCAAGAACATCTGGATTCCAAAAAACTTAAAAAAAAAACATGAGATTTGCAAAACTTATAAGAAGCTATAATTGAACCAAAACCTTTAGTATCCATAAAATAATTAAATTCTAAACATTCAATCCATGATCTTTTGAAAAAGTGAAAGAGCATTTCGTTTAGAGTTGTGTTAAAACTAAAATAAACTACCTAATTTGAATGGATTATGAGACTGAGCATATAATTGCACATATGAGCTTGGAATTCAATCAGGGTAATGGCAGTGTGATATCATCATCTTTGTCCTTTGTATTTGCAACTTGAAGTCTTTTTTTGTTGGAGTACACTCTGTCATATTTGTATCTTGATCATCTTGATCTTTAACTTTTGGATTTATGTGTTCTAATTGTTCTTCAAGTTGAGGATTTTCTATCCTTATCTGTAGAGAAGTAAGTGTTAGTAACAATGTAAACATGAATTCAGAAGTTTTAGGCTTGTTAATTAGATAGACAAAGTATTACCTTTGAAGCGGAAAGTAGATTTAATTGGTACACAAAGTGTAAGATTAATGTAAGCTTTACCTTTTCAATGATGTCGAGATAATATTTACACTCAAGCGCATAATTAATTGTGAAAACTTTTGCTACAGTGAATTATGAGTTTGGCTTTTGGATATTGGATTCTGTCAATTTTATTTGGAAGACAAATGTTTGTCCAATCATTTGCTCTATAACTTTTATAGTCAATTCATCTTCATCATCCTGTGAAGTTTGTTGGACAAAGCTAATTAGTAATAAATAAAAAGATTTCAGTGTTTGTAATTTAACTATTTTTGAAAATTAAAAATAGAAAGACTGTAAATGAAATACTTTCATATATATATATATATATATATGTAGTGAATAATATATTTGCTATACCTCATTACGCAACTCTAAAGCTGGTTGTTTAATTAGATCCTCTGCATTTTTATTGAAGAGAACAAATTTTGCACAATTTGCGGAATCTTTAGCATGGACACAAACCCTATACCTATTTGTTTCAGTGACAACTGAGAAAGTTGATGTTACTATTTCAATGTATTGTATTTCACATAAACAGGAAATTTATATACCTAGTTAGTGGTGCATAGACAAAGATTTCACATGAATTGCACCATGACTTTCCTTCCTTTTCAGTGACTTTCTTGTAGCAATATAGGCATGACAAATAATACCAGCCTTTGTTTGGCAAGATTTTGCATATCGTTTTCTTACAACATAAGAGTGTTCCCTAAATTATTTTAAATAATTAGTATATGGAAAAATATAATGTATAATAAAATACATTCAAAGAAGATTATTGAAACTGAATTGATTGGAAAAATAGAAATTACTTTAGTTGTTGGGTCATGGACCATGATATGCAATTCTGATATTGTTTTTCTATTTGTGAACATTAACTCCTCTGATTTCACAACTCTATTTTCTTCATCAGATAACTTTGAAGTTTGTGTTTGTGCGTCAGATAATTCAGTCCTAAATACTTAGGAGTTGCATCTAGTGGATTCACAATTGACGTAATGGTAAATCTGTCCTTGAGCTAAAAAGGTATAAATCCCTTTTCTTTTGCATGCTACATTGGTATCAAGTTTAGGCCAAGTTTGGGTACTTCCAAAAAAGTCAAAAAGCTAAAAAGTTACTCAAAAAGTTAAAAAGTTAACACTATTCACCAAAAGTCAACAATTACGGCTGCACAACTCTCAATTCAAA